TTTTAAAATGTTTAAATTTTTTAGCTACTGCTAGACTAATAGACTTTATTAATATTTTGTTTTTAGTATTTTACAAATACTTAATTTTTAATTATAATAATCACTAATTAAATCAAGAAATATACAAGAAAGTTTATTAGTTTTTGATTTTTGCTTGATTAATAAAAACTATAATATTGGGGCCAATCATATAACTCTTTTTAATGATCACTTGTACCAAATCTTCTTTACAAACAATTTGTATTTTTGCAAAATTTTACTAAATAAACTTGTTCTTTACAAGATTTTGCATATAGGTAGCTCTTTATTATATCTCTTTAGTCTTTCTACAAAGAGATATAACATACTTGTTCAAATTACTATTTTTTTAAAAAATTTATAATTTTATTAAGTAAATATTACTTGCTTCTTAATACAAAAAGATAGAGCTTATTTAGAGCTTCATTTTGTTATATAATATTTAAAAACAGATTTAAACTTAAAATTTTATTAACAAAATCTTGCAAACTCTTTTGCAAAAAATTTTTGCTATTTTTCTGCAAAAATTTTGTATTTTTCTGAGAGTTCTGGCTCTCTAGAATACCTAAACCTGCAGATCCTCATTACAAATCAATATTACTAATTAACTTATACTTGTTTCATCTATTTTTACTATTTTAATCTTAGTTACTTTACAATAACTCTTGTTACACTACTGTTATATTACATCAGGTTATACAAGTACACTAGCCACACTAGCCACAATATATCTATTCTGCTATTACACAAAATTATACAAGATTATACTCACTAGCCATATTAGCTGTAACTTAATTTAATCTCTGTTTTTACTCTAACCTCTAAAAACAACTTTACTAAATTCAACAACAATAAGTTTTCTTTAATAAAACTTATAATTACTCTATTAATACTATATACAAAATATCAAATACAATAACTACATATAATTCTATTGCTTCTATATCAAAATTCAACTGGTTTAAAAATTTTCTACCTAGTAAAAAACATATATACTTTTTACTACTTACACAATAAACTATTATCCTTCTATCAATTTATTCAAAAAACTTCTATCCTAGCCAAATATATAAAGCAACAACCAAAAACAAAGATCCAAAAAAGAACAATTTTGACAATATTCTTAAGGAAATAACAAAACAACAACCAAAATTCTTAATAGATCTTATATTTACTCTCACAAACTTCTATTCTTTTTAATATCATATTACTGTAGAAATACTTAAAAACTTTTTATTCTTAAACCTATTAGCCCAATACTTAACTTCAATATAATACAAGACCAAACAGATTTATTACCTTTTAAAATAGTTAACAATAATGAAGAAATAATTATTCACTTAAACCTACTAGTACAACAATTTAATCAAGATTTTTGTATACCATTCTTTAAAAAAATTTACCAGTCAGTTTTTGACTTATAGTTTACCAAATACTACAAAATATACTAAACAAATTATGACAATCTAAATGAAAAATAGCTATACAACTATATCAAGTTCAAAATTATTCATCGATATATTAAAGAATGCAGAAAACTTCTACCACCACAATTTCAACTTCCTAGCAATATCACATCTATCAAACAATATACTCTGCAATCTATTAAAGCTGCTCTCTTTTATATTTACATATGTATACCAGAAAATGTTATTTACTAAATGACTTCTAACATAACTTCCACAATATAACCACATATTTCTTCAATCTTTTCTTCAAAATTTTACCAATGCTTAAATATTCTACTCTTAATTCATCAATTTTCCTACCTAACCAATACCTTTATGCTAATATTATTCCTTTTAAAAAACTCTACTACCAGGCATAAAATATAGAAAAATAACTTCTACAAATAAATAATCTTTCTATACCAAGCCCTAAATATATTTTCCAATTCTTTTATTGATTATTCAAACTATATTTAACAACAGCTATAAAAAACTTTAAAATTAATAATCTAAATCTTGACCATTTTCTGAAAAACTCAATATCATACTCGATAAATGAATATATACTAGCAAGAATTATTCTTCATTTCAAAATTCAGAAAAACCCTATACTAACATTTAAACAAACCAAACAACTTTACTATCAACAAATTATTCCTTTTGCAAAAAAAATTTTATATCAAAAGTTAAGATTCACACAATAGAAATTCTAACTAAATTAATTTTTAAATCTTTATCACCTACTCTATCACACAAAAACTCTACTTAACCTTTATAAACAACAATTAGCCAATATAGAAACATCACCTTCTTATTTAAACAACTCTTTCAACCAATTCACAAAGATAGCAATAAAATCATTACTCTACTATTTAATTTATCAGATAATAGCTTTACTTAATTCTTATAACAACAAGAAAAAGAATTAAACCTAGAAACAGAATTATCCCATATCAATATTCCTCAAACCCACTTATTTAATTCTTTTGAATAAAAATTGAATCCTTTAAATATATCTATATACAATTTATAACTAGCAATAGATTTAATAATCTATACCTTTATATTATCCAATTTCTAACAATATATATTATCACTATACTGTTATATTTTAATATTCTAAAAATTTTTATTCTTTCTGAAATTGTTATTTTTTATAAACTTTTACAGGTTTAAAATCTAGGTGACTTTTTTAACCACTCTAGTAGATTTAGATTGCAGATAAATTAGATTTAATGATCTATAGTCTGAGTTTCATTCTTGTACAAATTTGTAAACTAGCTTTGGCTAGTGATAACTTCTAGTAGTTATCCAATACAAATTAATAAAGATAAAGACATAACTTCACCTTAAAAAAAAAATTAAAAATAAAAACTGTAATATTGTTAATTAGCTAATATTTTTTTAAAGAAAATTTATAATTTATGCTAGTGGATATTGATATCTGGGGTACTATATAACTCAAAAATCTGAATAAGGAACAGGGTTAGGTGTTCTAAATAAAAATGTTTAGAACCCTCTAAAACCTTGTATAACCTAAATTTGAACTACTATATCTACTCTTATTTTAGCGTAAAACTACACCCTAATCCTAAATTTTAATAAAAACTATTATATCTCAAAAATATGACTAAGAAACAGGATCAGATATACTAAGTAAAAATATTTAGAATCTCCAAAAACCTTGTGTAATTTAAATTTAAACTATTATATTTGATCTCTATTTTGGCATTAAACTGTACTCTAACCCTAAATTTTAGCAAAAAACTATTTTTTATAATAAAATTGGGGGTGGATATCAATATTCCCTGGTGTAAAATAGATTTTTACTTTTTAAAAAAGTTAATATTTTAATTTTAATAATATTTAAAAATATATTTTTACAAATTTTTATATTTATTTATTTTTTTAAAAAATTGAATTATAAAAATTTTTACAGATTATTAATTTAAAGTTTTTATTACAAAAATATAAATATAAATAAATAATTTATTTGACATCTAGGTTATTCTTTTAAGTACAAAAGAAAACTCAGTTATACTAATATATTAAAGTTAGATTTAGATTAGATTTAGAGTTAGTCTAAGATAAAATTGCAATATTGTTGCTTATATTATATAACAGAATTACCTTAGTAAAATTTTGAGATATTAGTATTTTTTCAAATTTTGTTATAGGAGATAAATAATTTATCTAATTAATGAATAAATATACTCTATATAAATTATTTAAATATTAATAAATATTGTAAAATTATAAAAACTTTAACTTTAAAAAGATTATCAAGAGATAATCAAAATTTGTAAATTAATAGTAAACTATTTCAAAAATATTCTAAAGCTAATATCTATCTTTAATAATATTTCTAAACATAATAACTGCTTAACTAATTTAATAAAAAGTTTTTTATTTAAATTTTACAAATTTATAAAATTTAAATAAAAAATTTTTATTAAATTTGGTCAATTAGTTATTAAGATATATTTGATCAAAATTTTGATTTTAAAATATTTTCGTGTTCTTGGCTCATGTGCCTCAGTAGTACTAACAGATTTTTAATAATTGACCAATTATATTACAAGACCAGATATAATATAAAAATCATGGATTTTTTAAAAAAGTGTCTATAATTTAAATTTTTTCTAGCACTAATTAAACCTCGTTATGATTATAAATCTAATCTTAATATTATGTTTTATAACTTTAAAATTGTTCATATTCGTTGTTATGATGTTATCTGATTGGACAATCAATGTCAATTAGTGAAAATCTGTTGATGTTACTGGGGTAATAGTTTTGCCCCTTATGTAATGCTAATTTGCTGATTGGTTGAATACATAACCAATAACACGATAAGGACTCTACCTTAATACAAGTCACTCTCGTTATAGTGAACTCTCGTTATAATAAACCTCTTGTTATATAAAGAACATTTTATATAAAAACCCTCTAGATATAGTGAACTTATTAACAAACTCTCGATATAGAAGGAAAATCTCACAGCACAATCACTTTACTATAATGAGAATGACTTGTATAAAGTTTAATGACATATGGGGACCCCACAGCAAAACAAAGCAGTGGGCAGTTTTAAAACTTGATCTTTAAATAAGTATATCTCATGATCTAATAATTAAAATTAAATGATTCTTATATTATTAGATTCATCTTACTGAAATGAGTCTAATGGTATAAAAATTATTTAATTCTAATTACTAAATCATAAGATATACTTATTTAAAGATCAAATTTTAAAAATCGCTCACTGTGGTTCCCATATGTAAGTACATACGTACGTACATGTATTTTAAATCATGTATCAGTAAATAAAGATAATAATTTTAAAGATACGTCTCTTGTAAGATTAGAGTCCCAATCTTTTAGTAAGTACGTACGTACAATATTTTATAATATTGAATTTAAGCACACGTTAATAAATGTCTTGTTACAAATTGATATATCGTGATAAAGTATATATAATTCTTTTTTTTAAAAAAAATTATAAACTAATTAAAAATAATATTTTTAACACCTTTATAAAATCTATAACTATTAAGATAACAATTACAGAACAAAAACAACAAAAAAAAAAAACAAAAAACAAAAAATGCAATGATACAGAGAAACATGAAATTTTTTGAAGAGGAACTAAATGACCACGTGTTTCACATTCACTTCTCATCCTCACCCTCATGCTCATACTCATGCTCACCCTCATCCTCATCCTCATCCTCATCCTCATCTTCAGCCTCATCTTTATCTTCATCCTCAGCCTCATCCTCATCCTCATCCGCAGCCTCATCTTTATCATCAGCCTCATCTTCATCCTCGTCCTCAGCTTCATCATCCTCGTCCTCAGTTTCATCTTTATCCTCACCCTCATCCTCATCTTCATCCTCACCCTCATCCTCACTCTCATCCCCATCATCATCACCAGCCTCATCCGTATCCGTAGGAACAGTAGTAACAGTAACAGTAGCGGTGACTGTTTGACGGTCAATTTCAGTAACAGTGTGCGTTGGTTGTACTTCGGTGACTATTTCAGTTCGCTCTGGACCTTCCATTTCTTGCTGAGTCATAATTTCGGTAGGAGTAGGCAGTGGGCATGGTGGGCACTTTGGGGTGATTAATTGACGTTCAGTCAGAGTAACGGTACGCCTATATGCTTGCGACATGTGATAACCAAAAATATTAATGCTTTAAAAAAAAAAAAAAATCTGAACAAGAAAAAGAAATAAATACTTACGAGCTATTGCAAGAGCAATAACTGGCAAGATTAAACCAAGGAAGAAAACTTTAAAATACATGTCTAAAGAATTTTATGAATTCGAAAAGTTTATTTATTTATTTATTTATTTATTATTCATAAATTTTTATGCCAAGTTTTTGAGGACTTTTGAGATTTTTGAGAGTGGTTGGTATAACCAGTACTTTATATCATTTTTCGAGTATAAATCTTAAATCACGAAAGCAACATTATTAAAACATTCTAAAAATATTCCTTGAAAATCAAGTTTTACATTATTAGAAGGAGCTATTAATCTTGAAAATGAGGATTCATTGCATAATCATACATTATTCTAAAATCAGGTATGCATAAATGTCAAGCGTATTCAACGAGAATGTTGATGTACGCAAGCCAAATTCACAAGGCATTCTCTTTAAATTTCGGATTAGTTAAAAATTTAATGCTACAAAATTATAGAAATATATGACAAAATGGTACATAAATACTAATTATAGGTTCATTACCCAAACAATTCAAAGTGAGCAACTTTAATTAATTCGTATTAACGTTAAAATGATTATTTAGGAGTCAATTATTGTTAATCGTTATTTTCTACTACAGATGTGAACTTATTAGTGTATAATGCAATGTCGTGTTACACTAGTAGATATTAATTAATAAAAATTAATTTATTCAAATTATTTTACAAAATAATGTGCTGCTTAATTTGTCATTAACAGAAGTTTAGTTTAAGGTTTTTTCGTCATCCTTAAAATTTAGAAACTTAGATATTAAAAATCTTGACTATACGAATTTCTTGCAATAAAGATGTTTTTAATAATGTTAAAAATGACAATTAAAAATATCTGAAATGAATAAGTTAAACAATAACAGGAACTTAAAGCAACTCCTTGAATCAATCGGTTTTTCCTTTTACATAATTAAATTCAATTCGAATTGTTTATTCTAAACTGATAAGATTATCGGTTAACAAAAATTAAAAGTCTTATCTCGTGGAAATATATAAAAGCTTAAAAATATTCCCGAAAATTTCTTT